GGGAGCTTTGAGGCTCAAGGGAACATAATATGGTCAGTAATCCTGCATGGGAAGGGAACTTTAGATTCTACAGGTTTGGCATTCTACATGCTACTCTCTCCTTTCCAGGAGGTCTTGTACCACTTTCATCATCTACTGCAGTATAGACTTTTGGTCATTTATAGTTTTAACTCCTTTTATACTGTTCATTAATTTCACAAATATTTATTGATTCCATCATAAATTCCTGAATATAGAATGCACCACGGTCCTGTTAAACTTTCTTTTTATAGTCATATAGCTTTATGTTAGTATACTGCCTATCTTGGTTGTTTACATTCCAGCTTTTTATCCCTGGGGAAAAATCGGGGGAATAAAAAAGCTCTCTAATTATCTCTCAATATTTGTTTTGTGGTATGCAACCATTTTCTTACATCTCTATCATTATACTTGCAATACAATACTGTAATTTTTCTCTTTATACAACTATTTTCATATCTTAAATACAAACTCCTTAAGGGGACTTTCCAACTAAATGTGATGCATGAGCAATGAATAAATGGAGAAATGTAAGGCAAAAATGAAGATTTCCTAATGACAAGACAAACATGTTTAAAGAAGGTAGCGTTATTTGTATCTTTAGCATTTTGGTTTTCAAAACTGATCATAGGGTTTAGTTCCAACTTTAATTGTTTGCCTCCTGAATTTTCAATAAAGTAAGTAATTTTTTCAACAGCAATCCAAACTGTGGGAAAAAATGGTAGTTGCCAAGTACAGTCTCTTGTGTTTTATTTTTTCACTGTAATTTGTTGTGCTCTTTGCTGATTGCAATCCTAGTGTTAGAAAGTTAAGCATGCACATTTGCTCATCTGGGTGTTTCCAATCCACACCCAATTCTCCATCCTTTTCCTAATTTGATAGGGAAATACATGCACTAAATATATCTCCAAAACCACTTCTCTATGTATGTGTTTTTAATAGAGTATATTTTGGTTGAAGATACTGAAAAACACATCCAATAGTTTAATGGCTATGCTTAAGAATAACTAGATAAATCCTCCCTTGTGGAATAGAGAGATAACAGCGAAGATTTTCATTACCTTGAAGTGGACTGGGAAATAGGAATGTCTGCCAAAGGCGAGTTGAAGGATGCTTGCTAGATGGATTGACAGGTAGGGAATGGATAGATGGCTTAAATAAATAGACGAGGAACAGTCACATTAGGGATGTACATGATTGTGTAGATGAAATTAGGGTTATATAAATGGGAAAATAATATCTGAATGGCTAGGTGAGTGGTTAGCTGATGGAAGTACAAATCGGTACCTTGATGTTTGATGGAGCTGAGTGGCCAGATGGAGTGAAAGATTTATAAATGCCCATGCCAGCAAAAGAGCATGGGTGAGTAAATGTTGCAGTTTGAACAGGAGCAGAAGAAGGTCACCTGTAAAGGGGAGAGGATGATGAAAAGGAAGGAGAACAAAGAGAGGGAAAGGGAGTACAGGAGGTATGAAGATGGTCAGGGGAATAGGAATCCCATTTCCTCTACATCCACAACTCATGATTTTACAATAAGCCTAAGGAAATTGGAAACTCTCAATCATTGGTATCTAGTGTTTACTTGCCATTTTGATTTACAAAGAGCATACATCTAGTCTATCAATTTGTCTATATTCCATCCCATAGGGGGTAGACTGAGTCATAAAAATTCCTGATTAGCCTTTGCCTATATATGAAGTTGACAGAAATATCAACCCCATAACTTTAGCTCAGGGTGTTTACCAGAAAAGGTGCTTGTGTTATGAAACTGAAGAATCTTAATCCACATTCTACTGAGTTTCCAAACCATTGCCAATCATTATCTAGGCTTTATTTGGAGAAAGCATTGAGAAATCCAGTGGGGACAGGTTAAAAAAAAAACAAATATTTTGAATTAAAGTATTCAGAGGGGTGTAAATAAATTCACAAATTGTGCAGATGAGGAAGCAAAAGCTAAGATCAAACACCCATGGAAGTTCACATTCTTGGTTAATGGCAGAGCTAGAAAGGCTTCATGGAGCTACAAATTATTGAAGAGAAACTGAATTGTAAGAAATAGGTTAATATTCATTCTTTCAGAAAAGCAGATGAATGTGTGACAAAGGAAGAGGAGTTAGAATTATTTTGGAAGAGAATGATGCTTTAGAAATGGCAACTAGATGAGTGAAGCATCTTCTCTAGGGCTCTCTGTCATGCTACTTATGGATATATATTCCAGCAAAGCCTAAAATAATAAAAATTAAACCCATGTACACACTTTCAAGAATAAATGTACATCATCATGTATTTGCTCATATCCATCCACTTCAAAGCAGTATTACTTTAGTGGAACCAAGCAGCAGGGTTACTAAGAAGTGTAATGCCCAAAGTTAGCAGTATCTGGTCACTATTTTTTCAGAAATATCTGTTCTGATTTCATTTTATCCTATGAAATAAATAGTTTAGTCTTTAAGGCTTCAACTCCATTTCATATTATTTGTAAATAGCATAATATAGAAAGAAAGTGCTTAGAAGGCTTTCTGCCCTCTGTGTCTTTGTGTGTGTGTGTGAGAGAGAGGGGGGGGGGATAGGACAGGAAGGGAGGAAGAGATAGGGGGAGGAAGATGGGGGAGATTATTCTCAATTTTTGGATTGCATTTGGTCTTCAAAGTCTAAAACACACACATGAGAGAAACATAATCTTCTTCACTTGTTTTTTTCATTCCTGGAACTCAAATGATATCCTAATAAACAGCCCCCTAAAAGTTACAAAGTTCTTCAAACTTTATTGATACACTGCACAATCACAACCATCTCATATTCATCCTGAATTAGAAAAGGTTACAACTACAATGTAACATGCACAAAATTCAGGTAGTATATTCACCCTTGATACAATTATTGACAGAAATCAAGTCTTCATTGAATTTTGAAGGAAAAATATATAAGAAAGAAAATAAAAGGAAAAAGAACTCTAGAAGGCTGACAAAGTTATACTCCTTTATCATGTGATAAATTTTTAAAGCATTTGAACATAGATTTGTTTTAAGGATCATTGTGAAAATGGGCACATCCATTGTTGGACACGGCTATAACGGCACCATTGTTAAGTCATATATATATTTTTTAAAACCTAGAGGACTCTGAACTTGACAGATACATTTTCGTACACCCACACATTCCTCACAACTGCACTTTACATGTCACAAAATTTTCTGAATGATTAAAAATTCTCCCTTTAACTAATGCAAGGGCAGCTATTATTACTTATCATTGTGATTATTGATATCCTTATACATCTGCCAAATAACATAGAATGTAGTCCCACAAGGATGGTAAAGGGTCCACAATGTTTCTTTCTCTACCCAATGGTGTGAAATAACTATGTGCCTTAAAAGGGCACCATTGGGGGGGGGGGTAAAAGGAATCTGTTTCAAAATACTGGAAATTAAGTTTAGCTGACAACTTTCAGGAGAAAGACAATTGCATCTAATTAAGTCCACCTCACATTCCTTTGGACTCAAAGTATTTTGCACCTGAAGGCTAAATTGCACTGGTTCAGCTATATCATTTTGCCACATCTTTTAATTGCAAAACTATTTCTTCCTCCTTTCATTTACTTCTCTTCTCTTAAGGAAGAAATGAGGGAAATGAGACTGGCATTTTTATTTGTTTGCTTTCAGTGATCATTAGGAGTCCTCATCATATGGCATCTCTTTCAAAATGTTGTCTTCCTAGTTACACACCTGTGAAGTTTTACCGAAACTGTTCAAACTTATTTGTCTTAAAAGAAAGAGACAGAGAAACCTTGATGGGAGGGGAAGCAATTGGCTATGAGAATTTCCAGGAATGGGGGTTGTGCAAAATAAATATAAAAGAGATTCTTGCCATTAGAGAAAAAGAAAAAAAAATGCATTTTACACAAAAGAAAAACTTTGTTGCTTCCCCTAATTCTAAAGGGACTTAATTTTGTTTGTGGTGAGGGTGTGTTGGGGGAGTGCTGGTCCTGGTATTGCAAAGCCAGTTTTACTTTCTCAGTGAGAACTCAGGGTCCAACTGGGGAAAGAAACTCTTCACCAGGGGTCCTTCATTTTAAGCCTCTCCCTTCCCTCTTTCTATGATGGGGCAGCCATGTTACAACTACAGAGAAAATTTGCCCATTGGCACTACAAATATTCAATTTCTATCCACTTGTGATGTCATGTTACTAATAAGCTCTCCCTGGGATCAACTGCCCACTTTAGAATTCTCTGCTCTTTTGATGTAATAGTTCTTCAATGTAAATAGAACTTGCTACCTCCTCCTTGTTCAGGGCAAGTTGACAGGTTTAATGCAGACCCAGACCCTGAAATTTGCCTCAGTCATGGAGCTCCAAGAATCTCAGAGTACACTTCCCAATTAACAGCCTAACTTGGAAAGTATCCTCCAGTAAGAGGTGTGAATTTCAGAGGGGAGAGACCCATTCTTCTTTGCAATACCAAGTCTTCCCTATTCTTTTGTTCATTTTGAGCACACTTGCAGCTAAAATACTGTGCACTGTACTCTCTATAAAAAATATGTGCATGTTTTGACAACTGCTCCCCTACATCTTCACCCTCCCCAATAAAACAAGAATAAGAAAAAACTAAATACACTTGTTTAGACTTGCAGATGACTGTATCAGGCACTTGGCATTAAACTACTGAAAAAACAGCTTGGCTGGAGCCTTAACACTAGCACTTTCATTGGCATTACTTTGGTGGTAGTACATATTAACTTTGGGGAAAGGGAAGGGTTTCAAATAGCTGCTGTTGCTGAATTCTTCTCACCTAATCTGATAAGCTACACTTGGTTTCCTTTGTATGTGTTAAACCCACAAATGATATATTGCCCAGAGACATATTTCTTTTTCCTGCCCTTATCCCCTTTTTACCCCCACCATTGGCACTCCGAACAAATCTGTCCAGCAGGCCTTATCCACCCACCCTCCATATGTAATGTTGAAAAAGCATGTGTAAGTGTGGATGCCATCTTTAGTAAACATTTACTATATACTTCAAGATATTGGGCAACAGCTCTCATCCCATGGAGCCATTCCGACCTAAGTGATTCAAATAATACAGAAGCTGGAATATGTCCACTGAAATGAAAAGTCATTTCACTTCCAGTATCCCAGTTGCCTTGGGTCTTATGTTCTTGGTTTTCTGTATTTTAGAAAGAAGAGGATTGGACTTAGCATACTTTTCACTCTGAAACATGGCTGGAATAGGTATCCATCAGAGATGTTTCCTAATATCCAGTGGAACAAGACAGAGCAGAGTTCCATGGTGACCTTAAGCCCAGTATTGTTGGGTTTGAAAGCATACAATGATCTACTTGGCCAGAGGATGGACCCCTTGCAACATAACAGTTCTTAGAGTGAGGAACAGGTACAGGTTGTCCATTCCAAGCACCATGTTCTCCAACACCATCCACTCCCCAAAGCCTTCACATTTATTTTACTCCAAAGTAACAATTTAGTACCAATAGAACACTCAAATGACACATTTATTTCTCATAAAATGTCTGACACAACCCAATTCCAGATGCTGAGTGTGGGAATAGATATGAAACGTCCATGCCTGACCTTAATTCTGAGTTTGTGCCAGCTCATGATTGTCTCTGGAAGTTGTAATCAATAGGCTCTTTTTGGCACATCACTTATATTCCCAGAACCTGGTTCCTAGTAGCGCACTAGGAAAAAAAGATGCCTGTTGACAACTGGCAAATGCAATATTAATTTTGTTCCCATTAGCTCTACTTCTTATGACAGTGCCTAGCTTTCCATATGCCAAGGCAATCTTCAATTGTACATATATTTCCCCACTCTGGGTGTCATATTCATGTTGCCATAGCAGAAAAACACAAAGAGGGCACTTACGTTGGAGGAAGAGATCAATTAAGCACTAAGGGAATGGAACTCTATTACAGAGTTCATATTTATTCTCTATAATGTAGGCCTGGAAAAGATTTCCAACTGAGGCAGGGCAGGTCTGTAAGAAAGTCATTGTTGATGCATAGAAAAGCATCCCCTCTTTCTCATGCCCTCATGTGGTTTTCAATGCTGTTTTTTTTTTTTTTTTTGAATCTCAGGCTCCCTTGTTGGCTGAGTCCTTCTTGTTTCAGGAGAATGCGGAAAGATCTGGTCCACTCTTCTTTATATGCTAGGTCTATTGGAACACAGGAAGCTGGGGACATCCTTCCCAAAGCCATTAGAGAAGCAGCCTGTATCTGAGAAAACTGTGTCACTTACACTTTCCCCCTTCTGTTTGCAGTGTTGTGTTAATCAAGTACTTAGAAATTAAGTCAGTTGCTCAAGTGCCCTCAGCTCAGAAGAGCTTCCTGAAACAAATACCAGAGTTTTCAACACACCCGCCATGTAATTGGCCTCCATAAGCTTTTTACTGGATGGTTTTCAAACAGATCAAACCAGAACTGGGACAGAAAGGAAACACTTAGAAGTAGTCCACTTTGGAGAATGGACTGCTGACTTTACATTGCAGACACAGATGTGTGTTTTCCTTCATGTTCTTGCTCCTAAGGAAAATCTGCCTTGAAGAAGGTCTTGTAAGTTCCTGATATGCACTTTCTGGAAAGGCTGAGAGAAGCATGAAAGTTGGTAGTACAATCCTTTGAGCACGAAAGAGGAAACGCAGTACTAATCAAGGTTTGTCCAGAGCTGATCTGCTTCCCAAGAAGATGTTTTAGCAACTATAGACTCTCCTGGGAATAGTGAGTGACTGGTTTACATTGCTACTTTGGTCCATCTGTTTACAGGGTTTAATTTGGGTGGATGGGTTTCCACATTCTAAAGAGTCCATGACACAGGGTACAGCTTTTCTATGTTGTTAGCCTGTGAGATCATTGGCTTTCACATGATAAGTTGATAGGAAATTTTGAAGATGCCAATGTCTGTTGATGGTAGAGGAGAGACAAAATAAAGTATAATAGACACAATATGATTAGAGATTAATATGGTGATGAACTGATAGTAGTGGGGAGAGAAATAAAAAAAACATGTTAGATAATTACATTGATAGATTGATAAATAGAGTAAATAGATCACTAGAGAGAAAGACAGGTGGGTAGACAATTGGATGGAGAGATAAATCAGACAATTGGGTAGATGAATAACCATATGATTACTTTTATAGATCACTTGATAAAACCTAAACAGCCATCTATTGATCATTTTTTATGTGCTATAAAAGAGAAGTACTCCCCTTAATATACTTCCCCCATTTTTTTAATTGTTGTTGTTGTTTTTCTTTTGGTCACTTGACTTCTACATGTTTAGTTTTTAGTTGCATGCGGAGCCCCTAGCTTCTAATGCTCACAGCTAGTAGAAAAATGAATAGGGCAAAGTGATTAGAGAAGTTGGCAAGATTTAATATGTATGTGTGTCTGTTTGTGTATATGTGTGGCTTACACAAATACACATATTTGGATATAGTGAGATAACTCTCTAGAAAGAAAAGATATGGACCCTAATGAGATTTGACAATCGTTTGAATGGAAGATATGTACATTATAATCAAGAAAATGATTCAATGCTCAAGAGACAGAAGTAACAAGACACATGGATATAACTCTTACTGTGTATCATATTATTAATCAAGTTGTGTCTTCAGGGTGTTTATGAGGCACATTTTCTTTGCTCACATGAAACTCATGTTTTGGGGTATGTGTTTGTGTGTGTGTGTCTGCATGTATGTGTGCATGAAAGTTGCTTGCTTGTAATGATTATGGGAAGAGAAGCAGACAAAAAGGAAGGGCCAAGATTGCAGGAGCAGATTCCATTTTGGGACACACCAATAAATGATTATCCTACACATGGTAGAACCCTGCCCACCCCTCCCCCCAATCCCACTCTTTCCAACTGGAAAAAAAATCACAATTAAAAGAAAAACAAAAAACCAAAAATATATCAAGAAGAAGAACAGAAACAAGTGAACAAAAAGAAGCCCAAACTGGTTTGCCCTCCGCAGTGTAGATTAAAGTCTGTGATATGGAGAAGCAGGCGTTGCTCAGAGGACCTAGGGTTTCTTATCAAAACTTGATGAAGAAGTGGGCAAAGAGGGTCCCTGAGAGCCACAGACAAGCCAGCGCTCTAGAGGCCGAGTTTACACCATCAATGACTGCTCCAGGCCCTGTGTAGGGGAAAGAGAGACAGACCCATTAGCATGTACCCACAGGACACCATACTCATCTCTGACAAGCAAATCCACAAACATGCTTCTCTGTGAGCATTCCCCCAAGTCCAACCCCCTCCCTTCCAAGTCCGCAGAAATGGAAGATGCTCACTGGAAGGGATTGGAAACTTAAAGGATGCCCTGAACACTATTACCTGCTCTGAAAGACTGAGCTTAATAAATATATAGGGAAGCTGAGGGTAGTCATTTAGGCCCATGGTCCCAAAGGTTAGGGCAACAGACAGGGCTCCATGGTAAGGCAAGATAGCCTGGCCTCTTTAAAATCAGGGCCTCTAATTGTCCTCTCTCTATGGAGATGGAATCCAAAACAGAAAAGGCTGAAGAGGGAAAAGATAGGCATGGGGGGAGGAGATGGTTCAGAGAGGTGAGAAGTAGGTGGTGGGTGGGAAGAAGGAGAAAGGGATGGAGATATTTTGCTATCAGCAGAAGTCTAGGTGCCAATGAGATGGACTTTTCATCTTCAACACATGTAATTTAGGTGTTGGGGGAGGGTTCTCCTGAAGCTGCTGAGGAAGGATGGATAATTATTCTCCAGAGCTTGAAGAGTGGGAGTGAGTCTATCCAAACTGTCAGCAGTGCCTCTCCAACAGCATCAAAGAAGACTTGGCATCCCTGTAACAAACTGCCACCTGATGCTTCCTTGGCTTCTAATTCCCTCCCTCTGGTCCTTTCCCATATCCCTACTGAGTCCTTCACATTCTACTGGGAAATAAGAATACAGAATCATGAGCACTATTTTTCTCCTCAGCTTCTATGCCTCAGGAAGAGAAACCACATGAATCTGGATTGTCCTAGTCTGCCTTGGCCTCAGGGCAGATGTGCCAGTGATGAATTCTGCCTCTGTGTTTTTCCTCCACCTTTATTTGCAAGCACAGTTTATTCCAGGTGAAGCAAAATGGAATATGGTCAAAGGATTAAAAGACCAGTGACAGGGGAAGGAGATGCAGACAAATAGTGTAGCTCTTCCATTGTCTAAAACTAAGACTTTGCTGAAGTAAACTGGCCTGCTAGTAAAAAAAAAAGCTTTAAAGAGCTAACATGGGGTGAGTCTTCTTGGACTAGACTCAAGCCATTTGAATTGCTTTGCCTACTATGAGACTGATTCATACCTTTTGCTTAGTAAATTCCAGGTCTCTCACTTTAGCTATAAGTATACAACTGTTCCTACCTTAAGGACTTCAACATAGATATTTTTTCTCTGACTTATAATGTGCACAATGCTCAGGTGGACTAAAAATTATATTTACTTTATAGCTGAAGTCCAACTCATGTTGCTGTGCATTTTAGCTATTGAATATTCACAAACAAGGGCAGGGTGCAGGTTCTAAAACAGTTGTCTGAGTTTCATGGAGGCTCCCCAACAATTTATGAGTATTAGCCTGATTCTGGGTCCTCCAGGAATCCTGGTGCACATCCTAAAGACTAGCCTATATAATGTACTAAGTTGGAAAATATTCAAGGGGAAGCTCAATGTCATCCTCTATATTGTCTTCTGCAAAAGATGATGATTTAGGTTTTTAAATAAATTTATAAGGAAATGAGCAATTCAAATTGTTAAGGCTCTTATGTTAATTTAAAAGCATTATTCTATATATAAATTGACACACACACACACACATAGAGTTGCTCCTCATTCTCTAGAGAAGATTGTTCTAGGACCCTGTATATATATATATATACCAAAAATCTGCAGATGCTGAAGTTCATTATTTTAAAATGCCACATTATTTTCGTAAACCCTACATACATCCTCTTATTTGTTTGTTTAATTTGAAGTACTGGGAAATGAACTCAGGGCTTCATGCATGCCAGGCAAATGCTCTACCAGTGAGCCACATCCTCAGCTTGTCCTTCTGTATACGTTAAATCATGTCTAGATTACTTATAATACCTAATATCATGCAAATGCTATGTAAATAGTTATTACATTGAATTGGTTAGCAAAGAACCATAAGAAATAGATGTTCAGGACAGACACAATATTTTCCATCTATTATTGTTGAATTCATGGGTGCATAACTCATGGATACAGAGGGATACACATGCATGGATACTTTTATTTGAAAGTATCTTCCATTTTATATATATATATATATATATATATATATATATATATATATATATATATATATTAGATTAGTTAATGTATATACATATATGTGTGTGTGTATTCATTTATCATGTTTATATTAACTTGAAAAACAATTAAAGCCTATATTTCACTTTAAAGAAATGTAGGTGTAGAGATCTTATTTTTACTGGTTCTACCTATGGACTTAAGCATTTCTGTAACTGTAATGCTATGAGCACTGCTCTGGTTAGAGCTAAGATAGAGAGGAGAGAAGCATAAAGGGAAAGCAAAAACAAGCAAACAAAAAAAGTGATGTATGGAATTAGAAGGAAGTGGAATCCTAAAGAGAAATGAGTGTTTCTTGTGGTTATGGGTAAGATGCTTGGTGCTGATCAGGTGGAAGTTTACAGATATCTTCAGGTTCTGCTGAATGTACCATCAAGTGGGAACCATGAGGATGACTTAGAGATATGTAGGCTGCCCAACTTTCAGAGGATAATTGTGATGACACAGTACTGTGCTCTCTATCTACAATTCAAAGAATCTAAATAGATTCTTTGCTTTTGATGTTTTCAACTCTACACCTTCTCTATAGAAAGTAATCATTTCCCCCAGTGGTCATAGCATCATGTGGTAACAGGAGCAACCAAGTGGGGACACAATTTCTCTAGTGCCTCTGATGTTTTCTAGTTGAGTAACACCTCTGTGGGCTTTTGTTCTTCCATCTGAAAAATGAAAGTAGGTGGAGCTTGATGACTTGTATGATTCTTCCCCTATTAGCTTTCTGAGCTATCTTATAAATGGAACTTCTATATCTAGTTCTAGAAGGAATAGCTTATGAGCAGCCAGACAGCCTTCTCCAGGGGGTATAAAATAATTAACACCTTGGCTTTTAGCACCACTGCATGACATCTCTTCCTGAAACATGAAATATTACTGGACCCAATAGTTTCCCTTTTTGGTCCCAATTCCCAGGTAGTTCCAGAAAGTTGTGAGGTTCTTTAGAAGACATGATGAGCAACTGCTCTGGAGCATCAAATAAAATTTGCTGCCAAAGTGCCTTTGGTCAATCAGACTGTGAAAAATGGCTGGGCTATTGCATCCAGAGAATAAGTCTAATCCATTCTGATAGAGATTAAAACCAACACTGCTTTCCTCATAAAGATTCTGGACATATTTGAGATTGGCTTCAGGGCCAAATGACAGGATCATTAGAACTATACAAAAGGGTTCTCAGGCTTTATTTAGAGCAGAAGACAGTGGCTCACATCTTTATACCACTCTCTAAGTTGAAGGAATGTGAGGAATAAAACCATTAACAATGAACTGATTTTTAAATCACATATTTACAATGATCCTATTTGACTGGAAATGAGGAAAAGAAGGTACCAGCATTAGGTCATTCACACTGGACTTCAGTATGCTCTAGTCACTTTCTTCACTTGGGAAAATGCATAGTTTGAAAAAATGATGGATTGCTGTGCTTTAATTTGGTGCAGTTCGAAGACCCTCAATGACCTCTTGGGGCTCACATTTGGTCCTTAGACTGCCACAGCCTTTTGCATACTTGTTTAGTGAATCTGCAGAGCCAAACTCTGTACCAGGGGAGGGATTGGCATTGAAGGAGCTCTTCACTCTGAGATCAGCAATGCTCCCATAAAACCTTGAACATTCATTTCAGAATCAGATTGAATATGTTTTTCTACACCATGGCTTCTTTAGGTGAAGGCTGCATGAATTTTCATGTTACCCAAGATTTCAAGACATTAACTTGGGTACCAAATTCATGGTTCCCAAGATGATGTCAATTTTAACTTTAATAAATATAGTAAAGAATTCAAATGTTTTTCCCCCTTTTCTTGGCTTGTTGGAATGTCTGTTAGTGGTAATAGGGATAAAAGTTAATTCTTACCTAAAACTTAGACTCCGAGATTTGGAAAAGCAGGGTAGATTTTCAAGGAGGTTTTCTCCTTGAGAAAACTGACCCTGAGGGGCATCTGGATAAAGGCCAGGGGTTTCAAGAAAAGATGGGACTAAAAGTTGCAGGTGGGAAAAACATCCACTAGGAAGACAGGAAACATTCTCTGTGTATTCTGCCTCCTGGACCTCTCTGTGTTATATATGAAGCCCTAAATATTCTTTGGGGTAACATCACTTATAATATGTAAGTGCAACTATTCTGACATATAAGTGGAACTAATCCTGGAAACTTTGGAGTCAGACCAATTTGGCTTTAAATCATGACTCTTTGGCTTGCCAGTTACGTGGTCTTAGACAAGATATTTTGTCTTCTCTTGTTGAAAATAGACATAATAATACAGAGTTTACAGGATTAAAAGATCAAGATGATCAGTATTGTGCCTCTTGGAAAGTAGTTGTGAGATAGAGGTAACTGCTGCTATGGGTTAGTGGTTCCACCCTCCCTCCACTTCAGTTTCTTAGTTGCGATTAATATTAGGTTATTTAAATCTTTTCCAAATTCATTGAAATTGAGGTGAGATTTGGGTAAAGGAGTGAATGAAAAAGTGTGGTAGTGTAATGGTCACATTGCTACTGAGAGAGGCCATTCTTTGGGGGGCTTTGGAGGATGAGGGACACTGACTGAGTAGGGAGAGATCTAAATCCAAGCTCAACAGTAAAGACCAATGGCAAAGGGGCAGTTCTCTGCAGAGAAAATGGATCTGGGCCAGACTTGGAGAAGTCATAGTACTTATTGGATGTCTCCATGCCCAGACTCTATTTTCAGAAAAAAAAAAAAAAAGATAGTCACAGTCTCTACCTTCAAAATCCTTTCCCCAGTAGGACAGAGACAGTTGGACTTTAAATAAATAAACAAGAAAAAAGACAAATCCTTTTTTTTTTCAAA